GCTTGTCAAAGATTTGCAAGAAGTCACAAACCATGCACAAAGTTATTGTGAAACACCATTCCACCTGAAATTGTTGTTTGTACAGTAACATTTTGCTAACAGTTCATTATAACCATCAGTATCATTACCACAACTTAGTATGTACATGTGTATATTGTCTTAGTCATGTCACTAACCTACTTAAGTGAATTATTTTTGTACATTTTTTATTTGATTTGAACGCAGGTTATGCAAGTATTTGAATGTGTAGCTGGTTGGAATAAAGTAATAATATTTTGTCCAGTTACCAGTGGTGAATTGATCCATGGATGTAAGGCTACCTCTGTTGGGATCTTTATCCAATCACAGGTCCTGTTCTTCAGCTGCAGTGTCCCTTAACCTGCCGTGCATTGAACCAATCACATACTTTGTTAGAAAAATTCAATGCTGTGTTTTGCTTGAGAGTTTTTATTTGTCTACTCTTTCCCTATTGGCTATTTCTTTTTAAATTGTACTTTTCTTCGCTGTTTCCATGACCTTGCTACATGAAACTCATCTGGTCATCAAAATAACTTTATGTGCGTAAGTACCAAAACAACACTTCGCCTTTCGCCATTTGCTCCAACTTCTTCCAGTTTCAGACTTCTTGTATTTTATTTTCAAACTCCAAGTGATGTCGTTTCTTTGTTTAGATTAGGACGCTAAATAACTGCAAATTTCAGATGAGCTTTTAACGCTAAAAAAAGAATGAAATTGATAGCGTTCAACTGACTCAGTTTTCACTAAGATTGTTACAGTTCCTTGCTGATTGGGTAAATGTTACCATGGTAATGAAGCATTTCTTTCCCTCAATCCCAACCATCATGTGTTGTCATTTTCTTTTTATGATACATGTATCTTTGATGTGCCTCACCCATGCCTTTTGGTTCAGTTTTATCAGAAATGGATTTTTGTTTTGGAAACCAAAGAATTCTACTCATTCAATTTTAATCTGATTTTGATGACTGCTTCAATCACCATTTGAGTGACCTGTTCGTTTTTCTATTGACAGTCTCTGTTGGTAACTTCTTAAAATGTACCGCACATCATTGCTGTATGTATTTATGATCCATCGACTAGGTTATTAACATTGCTATGCATTTTAATGTTGCATGGTTATCTGTACTACCCCAGGTATTACTAATAATTCCTACCTGCATTATTTTGTCAAAATTCCCTATCACTGTAAAAAGGGATGCTGTCTGACAGTTTGGGTTCAACTCCAAAAATGATGCCAGATCTTTAAATAAAAATGTGTTTGGTTTAGTTGGCTTCCCAAAAATGCCGTCTTGCAGCCCCCTAACTTGGTTAGAAAGTGTTGGTTCATGATGGATTAACGTATCATCATTTGGTGTGCCATGGATGTTGGTTTCCAAACCATAACAATGGTTCATTAATACCATGGGTGTAGGGAGGATTCAGAGGTGTAGGATGCAAAGGGTGCACACCTTGCAATGAAACAGTTGTAAATCGCCTCTGAAATTTTATCTTCACATGATCTTTTTTGGGGGGTGAAAGTTTTCAACTTTATATACATTTTATGATATCCTGTTCACAGGTGTGCAGTGTATCCAACATCCAAACCTTCATTTGGACATATAGCAGATACATACCTTTTCTTCAGCCTGCACCATGCCTATCCAAACCTTCATTTGGACATATAGCAGATACATACCTTTTCTTCAGCCTGCACCATGCCTATCCAAACCTTTTTCATACTTCCCCCCCCCCCCAAAAAAGGAAAAAAATCTAAATGAGGAAAGTAAGCAGGAAAATAATTGGTAGTCTGTCCATCCTGAGTTACAGATCCTCCCCAGAAAAAAGTTAAAATTTGTTATTTTATATAGTCACAGCAATGTTTGCAAGATGTTCATATATTTTATGAATTGAGTACATTCTCCCATTTTTGCAACGGTTCTAAGAAATCATACAAGTTCTCTAGGGAATTGTTCCTATTCAAAATACCTTTTTCTATAATCACCTCTCCCCCCAAAAAATAATCCTTAAAATAACTTCATCACACCCAAGTGCATTGTATGGTACACAATGCAATACAGCTCATTAATCTGGCTATTGAATTCTAGACATGTACCCACAGTCCTCTGTGAAGGAGGATCATAATGTGCTGGTAAATATTTCAGTTTCCCTCTAACTGAAATAGCCAATGTTGACTCCAACACATTTTCTTCGTTATTGTGAATCCGTATAAATCTATTAAAACAATATACATGTACCGTACGGTACCTTGAATTTTGTCATTTTTAACCACGTTGTTCTTGTGGATTTACATCTCTATCTCTATTGCATGTTCAGTCCATTGATGCGTGTAGTTGAAGCAAATGGGTAGATGCGTCCTTATATCATATACGTATTTTTTTTAGAGAAAAGTGAAAGATGTTTCATGCTCAAAGCAAAAGTAAACATGAAGCATATTTCATTTTTTTCTTTCATTATTTTTTCATGATTAATTGTATCATTTTGACATTTCCCAACCTCTGTTACCCAAATGAATTTCAGTTTGATCCCAAATTTGTGTGAAGTGAAAACCAGGCTTTCCCATCAAACTATGCATAAAAAACTCCTTGCACTTACAAAAAGTTGCATGTTACAAGTTTTGCACTTCACAGGTGTCACTCCTCCAAGTTGTTTGATTTTTATTTGAATGGTCGTCTCATCACTGCGTCACAGCATTCCCATGTGTTTGTGTTTTTGGAAGCTGCACTGTTGCCATGCCATACATACATACGTGTACGCTTAGGTAGCTAGACACACTTTTGCTAATATGGAGGTCTTGTTTAAAAATATGAGGATTGTTTAATCAGTTTTGAGATGGGAACCATCCAAAAACCAACCCCGTACTTGTACACATTTGCCAAGTGCAAGATGGTTACACTTATTATGGACTGACATAGACCAGGGTGGAATTTGATGCTGGGGGCGGCTGTGTGCTACATACACACGTACATGTTGTACAGAGAATTTCAATATTTTTGACATTTTTTCAATGTTTTGACATTTGCAGGTTGAGTCTTTAAAATTTGTGTACTAAATGCATGATTGGAATCATACACGCGTTGATGTAGATGCTCTGGATGCTGGATAGCAGATTTTTCACACACATTAAATTACAGAATGGATACTGTTATTGAATTACATTCACAGAAAAAAGGATGCACCTTAAATTTCTATGAAAATTTTGCCAAGTAAATCCATGCAGACATGTACTGTACATGAAGACATCTATGGACTACTACGTGTATTACATACATGTACACATACATGTATAAGGCAAGGCCTACTGGTGTGTGTTGTGAAGGGAAATAATATATGTTTACGAGCAGTAATACCTTAGTACTGTTTAGTTTCATACCTCTAAAATATTGTCAGAGGAATAACCAGGATTTTAGCTAAGTACTCCCTGACAATCTATAGCAATAGTGATAGTTCCCTGTGTTCATTCTCTATAAAAAATCAATGCATATAACATTTGTCTTAACTATACGCAGTCCCATGTTTGCATGTGACCATGTGACCCTATGTCTCACTCCCCCATTACTCCGCCTTGTGTCCCCAATCCATTATTCATGTTACCATGGTAATGTTCATTTGGTTGCCATGGCAACTTGCAAAGGTTTTCCATGGCAACGGAAGTTATTTAACACGCATGCTTGGTTTGATGCTGTATATTAAATATAGCACTCTTTCACTGTGCATGCCTAAATTGTGAGTGCATTATGGTAATTTTTTCAGTAGATTTGCTGTTTTTTTTAATCTCTAGATTAAATAATTTCTTCAACAAATCCACGAACGGATCCCTTATTCTCCCACAACTAAATGACTCCAGTGACCAATAATTGGCCTTTGATGTGGTTCCCAAAGAGTCTGTTTACAATATTGAGTTTTAGAAAAAAAATTGATCAGTGTTTTTTGTGAAATCCAAATGTGAGCATTAAAGACGAGCTGTTGTGGGAATATGTTTGCATGTTTTCATAAACAAAGTTTTGTTTTCAGTAATTGTTATTGTTGGTTTGTTTGCAGATGAAGATTGGTATTTGCCCAAGGAATTTCTGTTTGATGACATTTTCAATGAAACATTCAAGCCCAAGCACTATGACTTGCAGTGGCTGTCCGGTAGGTACACAGTGAAAATTAGGTTTTAATTTGTAACATTTCCTTCTTTATCACTCCCCCCCCGCAAAAAAAATGAAATGGTTTGATATGCTGCATAAGAGGGTGACTTTACAGTTGTACATCATAAGAGGGTGACATTACAGTTGAACATCACAAGAGGGTGACAGTACAATTGTACAACATGAGAGGGTGACATAACAGTTTACATCATACGAGGGTGACATTACAGTCGTACATCACAAGAGGGTGACATTACAGTTGTACATCATAAGAGGGTGACATGACAGTTGTACATCACAAGAGGGTGACAGTACAGTTGTACATCATAAGAGGGTGACAAGTACAGTTGTACATTACAAGAGGGTGACATTACAGTTTACATCATAAGAGGGTGACATGACAGTCGTACATCAC